AGCCACAGCCAGCCCTAAAACCTCTAATGATCTTCACCTTCACCTCTTTCTAACCCAGTTCTCCACCACTTTTTTGACCCATTTACCCAGGGACCTTCACCACAGGGCGGGGAGTAGGGGGAGGAATGTATTCAAAACAGGAACATTTCAGTGTACAAAACCACCGAGAGGCTACTACAGGCACTAGCGCATAGAAAGACCCTTCTGCAGGGTGGTGTATGTCTATATGTATGTATACTTATTTATTGCCATTCGTTGAACCTGTAGTCGTGTAATAAGTATGCGCATATACTGTCTTGGGCGGGTGTGTTATTCGCAACTATACCAACAACTACATAGCAGCTTCTGACAGGCAGACTTACTTTTTCTTTCTTCCCCCCTCCCTCCTCCCAGTAAAAATGTGGTTAATTAAATAATTTAATCACTAATAAAAGTGAATCTTGCTCAATGTTCTTTCTTAAGCAAAACCCAGATATAGTTCGGTCAAAACGCAACCGAAGTTCAGTGGGAGTTTTGCTTGAGTGAATAGTGAATACGTGGTCATGGAGACCTCATATTAACAGAAATGGTGAGGGGGTGTATGCCTGAATCATTATTTCTGACATAAATATTAATAATAATCAGAAAAAGTTATGATGACGTCCCAGTTAAACTGTTTTTTTCAAGCACCGGATTAAAAACACGATCACTTCCCGAAACAGTAGTTTTTTGCCGTTTTAAGGTAAAATATATTATTTTTCTCTTTCTTTTAAATCCTTCCTTAAGAATACGTTCCACATAAGGGATGTTATTTACTGAAACAAAAGAAAAATATTTTTTAAATGTCCAAAACTGGTCGGCTAAATATCCCATTGCGGATTCGAGTTACAGTTTATTATCCCTTAAATCTGTTTGTGAAGGCAATCTTGAAATCGTAATTGGAGGCTTCTTGATGAGCAGATTTCTTCTCCTACGATCTATGCGCGCCAAGTTAATCACCTCAAACATCAACTAGGAAAATAACAATAGCTCCTTAATTCCATAAAGATATCCCGTCCCCCATAAACACTCTAAATTAGGAAACGCTGAAGAAACAATTCTGAGATACCGCAACATTGGGGAAATCTGCATATAAAAATAAATAAATAAATAAATAAATAAACAAACAAACAAAAAAAAACCCCAACCAGCAACAAAAACTAAAACCAAAAAACTCAAAATAAACCTAAAATCTTAGCTTGAGGATTTGGCATGTTAACACGGAAGCAAACAAGCAAATATTAGATAACAGAGTTATTGTGCACTTAAAATACAAATAAAATAAAACAAATCACGAAAACAAATAAACAAAAAAACCCAACCAAAACCACCACCTCACATTCCATACCGAGGAAGCCCGTGCAAAGACTGACTGGCCTAAAAGACAAACTCAGTGAACAAAAGAGTTTCTCTGGCTGGGAGGCAGGCTAAGGTAAGGGCATATTTGGGGCCTTGGCAGTCCTGCTACAATCCATGACAATTTTATAATTTTTTTTTCACTTTACAAATATATCATCATTCCTTGTAATATGTGTATGGACACGTGAATAAGCTACCAGCTTAACCACCCATTCCCTCAGTCTAAGAGAATGAGGGAAAAGTCTGAGTCACCTGAACTGCTTAGGCAGCACTTTGCTATGCTAAACCTAAAGGAGACCATTGAGAGCGAGGGCTTGCTTAAACGAAGTCTGGAGAGACTTACATCAGGGCTACCCTTTTCAGGAATTATTATGCATCACGCTTATCTAATTAATGCTTATTAGCCAACCCAAGCTCTGACATGGTGAGATTGTGCTTTGCTCCAACCTGATTTGTCTTTTTCCTCCTTTACTACAGTCAGCGCATTTTTTTACATTAGGAACTAAATAATACTTTAAGTACATGCTATTGGATTTCCTACAACCAATTGCAAGTGGTAAATAATAAATAATTTCCTTTGTCAGTTGCAGCAGATGTCATTATTTTAATTTGCTTAGGCACAAGTATACAGAATGAGGTCTCCAGGCTTCAAGAATTTTAATCACACCTATTTAATTTTATTATTTCCGATGGGTTTGCTGCAAAGCAGTTTTGGATATATTTTATTATTTTTTTTCCGATCTCTTCTTTCAATGACAATAGAGTGAAGAATATAGGGGAGGGCAGGTGCATCCAAGTGATTAGTATCGTCTCTTCATTCCCAAACAAAGCAACCTTTTTCTCATAGTTATGATTAATTTAAATTGCAGAAGTGAGAGTGAAAGCCAAGAATATCCGAGATTTCTCTCCTTCTCCCCCACATAGTGCAGAGCTGAGTGTCCCATCTCTCATCCGCAACCTTTCACTCCTCTCTCCTGCGGATCTGCTTGCCATATTGCAGACACTACTTATTTTCAGAAGAAATACCCTCCCTCTCCTTGCTTTTTCAGCGTGACAAATATTCTGTTTTCAAGAAT